TTTTCTCATAGTATTAAAAAAAAAAGAAAATCATTATTTTATAAAAACTAACCTTGCATTGAATGAATATCATTTTTATTTGTTATACCTATTGTTTCACATAATTCAATAACTTCTTTTGGTGATAATGGATTAGCATATCTTAAAATAAGTTTATCTGTTTCTTCAACAAGACGTTTTCTTCCAAGATCATATAATTGTGTAACACGTTCACGTTCAGCAACAGCTGTAACACGTTTAAAATATTTAACAGCTTCTTCAAGACGATCTAATTCAGATAAATAATCTGTTAAATTTCCACCTGGACCTGATGATACAGTTGGTTTTAATTCACCACATATATCATAATAATGTAATATTGAATCAACTAATGTTAAACTTTTATTAACATTATTTAAAAGTAAACTTAATTCATTTGTTCCTTCATAAACAGGTGTAACAAGTTCATCTAAGGATTTTAATTTACGTTCAAAATTATCTAATGTTGCAACCATACCACTTGTTAAAACATTTGAACGAGATAATGATTCTTGTAATAATGCTAAACGACGTTTTTCCTATTACAAAAAAAAAAATCAATTGATCTTTTTTTTTTAATAAATTATTCATTATACATATTGTATATTCAAGTTATAATTTTAATAAAGAATAGAACTTAAAGTATGACATATTGAATTATTAATTAATTAATAAAAAAGCATTAGAATATTCTTATTTTGAATTTCTATTCAAATTTTTTTATGAGATTTTTCATTTTGATTATCGTATGCATTTTCGATCTAAACATTTCTATTCAAATTCAAAAATCAACGTCTATTAGTATTGAAGTCTTTTTGATTTTTCATCATTAATTTAGTTTCTATATGTCATCTGTCATATTCTATATAAATAAGAGCTCTTTATTAATACTTAGTATTTGATAATGATTTCCAAAGGTCATGGACTTCTGACATGACCAAATTTTTCGATTATTTTAATAGAAAAGAAAAACATCTTGTTACATGAAACTTTTTCTTTACATGTATTGATTACTGTAACACGTATCTTTTTTTTTTTTGAAAATTATTGCACAATTGATTTTTGAAGGTCATCTATTTACTCGATATACAAAAAACAAAACAAGTAGACATCTCAAATAGTGTCTAAATGTATTCTATTATCTATTTTTGATAAGCTAAGTTAGCTGTAAAAATTTTCATAAAAAAAGATATTCTGAAATTTATACAAGGTCAACATTCTTAACTTACTCCATTCGAGAGTTATAAGTAATTTCCTGAGACTATCGCTTTCAGTCAATTGAGTTGTAATCAATCGGAAAAATCAGCTAAACAGGGGGTAATTTACCATACAAAGTCGAATAATGATATTTATTTTTTACGTTCAAAATGATATGATTCCTTTTATCTCAATATTTCGTAATCAGCCTTCATATAACAAAAAAAAAAAAGTTTCAACTCTATCATATGTATTGTAATCTAAAAATTTCAAATATTTCTTATACATCATAATATGACTTCATCATTGCTTTAGATAATATTTTTTTTTTTGTTTCTTAATTTTTGGCATATTTCAAAATGATAGAGCAAGATCATAATTCTCACCTCTTGTAATTTCACATCCGACGTATGATGTATATTTGTCATTGATTCACCACCACCTATCATATTTTATTATGACATAACAATCTGAAAAATATTCATTTTTCGAATAAACAAATTCATATATATATATGTATATATATATATTAATAATGGAAATATGTTATACAAAAAACAAAAACACGAACAAAATGATTTGTCATGCAGAAGAAAAAAAAAACTAAGAGATGTTCATTATTTTAAATAAGAATACATCCTCGTTTTTTCGCTTTAGGTCTTGGACATAAATGAGCACGTATAGCTTCATCAAACACTGTTTTTAAACCTTTTTGTGTCAATGCAGAACATTCAAGATATTTGAGAGCACCTATTTCTTTGCGCATTGATTCACCTTGAAGTGTAGAAATTGGTGATAATTTTTTCTCCTTGTTACAAAAAAAAAACGAATAGAAAAAGAAAAAAAGAAAAAAAAACACTATTTACTCGAAGTTTGTCAATGATGTTTTTATCATCTCGTAAATCAAGTTTTGTACCAACAAGTATGATTGGTGTTTCAGGGCAATGATGATTTACTTCAGGATACCACTAACAAAAAAAAAAGCAAAATTTAATTAATATCAAACAAAATGAAGATAATACTTTAGCTCGAACATTTTCAAACGAAGCTGGACTAACAAGTGAAAAACAAATAATAAAAACATCCTTAAAAAAACAAACAACGCTAAATATTTCTTATTGAAAACAAAGGTATTTTACCGTTTGCGGATAAGATAATGGACGAAGACGATCATAATCTAAATATAACATATTACAAAAATTAATAATAATATGTAAGTATACCTTCTTGACCAGCCTAAATAATCAAAAAGATAAAGAAAAATAAAAAATTTTTCAATTTCTTCTTACTGTATCCCACAAGCCAAGATTAATTGGTTTTCCATCAACCATAACATTAGCTGAATAATTATCAAACACAGTCGGAATATATTCACCAGGAAATGTATTCGTTGTATAAGATATTAATAAACATGTTTTACCTACGGCACTAAAATAAACAATGAAAAATTTATTTACTAATTATTAAAAGAAAACTTCAATTGATTTACCCATCGCCAACTACAACACATTTAAGTGCTTGCATTTGAACTTTTCTTTTGTTTTTGTTTTTAATAATTAAAATGAAAAAATTCTATTGATAATTAACTATTCTAATGGATACTAGCATTAACATAGCATCTAGAAGGAAAAATGATACATTCTTGGATAGATAGGAAAAAAAAATAATGAATGTAGAGCCAAGCAAACAAAGAAAGAAAAGAAAAGAAAAGAGAAGAGTATGAATGAATCATCGCATTAATCATGTTAAACATTGCTCATTCAATCAATCAACCCACTATTTAGATATTGGCCCAATCAAACAGAATATCATTCGATAGATAGACAGAGGTCGCATTTTTAAGAAAATTACCATTATAAGTCTTATATTGAAAGACAGAAGTCATTTTAAAGCAAATAAAGATCAATGAAGATTAGAGAAATCAAATTGATTTTAGATTATTACAAATTTTGTCTAAATAAATTCAATATAGTATTTTTTTTAGCAGAAAGAAAAAGTAAATCGAAGATTAGTAAAGTGATAACATCTTGTTGTGTTGAAATATATGTAGAATGAATTGTTTTTTTTCTTCTATTAATAAAAATAAAACAAAAAACAATCTCTTTTTTTTTACATATCATTCATCAATTGTTTATCCTGTATTAAAATGAATTATAATTTAGAATCTCAAAAAAAAACAGATCTTTTTTAAGCTTCGACTTTTTTTTTCTTCAAAAAAAATTTAGATGAAGATTCATTAGCAGTTATTGTCAGAAGTTTCGCATAACTTTTTATTTCGAAATTGTTTATGTAAAACTACATAATATTTATGTTATATAATTATTTACTCTTATAGCAGAGGTTCAAGTACTATATATAAATAAGCATGTTTAATATAAGAAATGTTTGTATAAAAAAAAAAAAGCATGACACAAGAGAAAGTCATCTTGACATTATTGTTATATGTCTTAGCAGTTTTATCATGCTGACTAAGTCTTAATAAACTGTTAAAACCAGTATTAAAAAATATAGTTTAGTACGTAGATGATTTTAGTATGCCATTTTCTTCTATATTCTTATTTTTATCGTTTAAATTTGTATAACAATGACATAGATATTTGAATAAATTATATATGCATTTCATTATGTAATGTATTAGGCGTTAGTTTAGGTAATAAATATGCTTAATCAAGCAACAGAACATGTCAGCACATAGCACAAGGCACTATTTCACAGATAGAAAGATATAAGAAACTAAATCATTAATGACAGATAAAGGCTTAGTCAGGATAATGAAAAAAATGTATTTATATATAGTACTTTACCTCTACTATACAGGCATATAATCATTAGAGTTCTTGATAGTTTCTAGAGGGTGAAGAAGATTAAAAAAAAAAGCTTGCTGTATAAGATTTTATCATTACTTCAACAAAGTCTAACAAGCCATCACATATAGCAAATATTTTCTTGAATAGGAAAAATTGATTATCTTGTTTGTTTTACAAATTAGAGAAAAAAGTATGTTTTGAGTTTAGTTCAATTGAGAAAAAAAATAATGAATTAATAGCATTGAAAACCTTATTTGATTTACCAACGAAAACAGAATGTTTACTGACTAGACGTTTTGTGTAGTTATTATTTTCTTATGTAGGCCAAGCTTAGAAGAATGCTTATCTTAACAAGTATATAGTTCTTTTAATGTTTAATCATCGCAAGATGCAGCATTTTTTAAATAATTATTTTGTTTTCTGACAATCGCAGTTCAATGGTTGAGTAAAATTCTTTATCGAATGATATCTTTCAAGTGTATTGCTGTCTTCAAAAGAACACAAAAGAAAATCAAAGTATCCCATTCTTCATGAGCTTCCCTTATATTATGTTTGTTAGATAAACATACACTTAAGATGAAGCCAGGTTATTTGTTGGACAGTCATATGGGTTTTCATATTAACGGGACCGAAAAAGAGATTTTTCTATTTAAATAGTAAAATAAATTATTCAACAACATCATCATTTCATATGAGATCTATTCTGCAATAAATGTGTTATATTATTGAAAGTGAAAAATACAAGAATACAAAAAATACTATAAAAGACACTTGTATAAGTAGTTATAAAGGGATTATTGAACTAGAGAAATATAACGATCTCCTGCAGATGTCACAATCTTATTGATTAATGATCGATTACATGTTTTTATCCAATGAATAGATTTCTTTTGAAACTAGTAGTCAAGTTATTTTAATTTGTCTGAAAATATTAACTTAGCATCACATTGTTTGTTGCTTTCATTGAGAACAACAACAATGACAAGAAAATCACAATCTAGTTCTTCTCATCCTCAAAATCTATTGTTTATTCAACGTTTAAGCTCAGCACTTTTTTATGGTATTTGTTCGGGTTTGATTACTATTGTTAATAAACTTGTTCTTACTTCATACGGGTATATTATTTATTAATCAAAAGATTTTATGAAAAATACTATCCTGTATTATACAATAGATTTCCTTCATTTCAACTACTTGCCATTGGACAGGTATGTACTAGTAATGATTACATAGGATTAGTAGTCGACATTATGTTTATTCTTATATGATAATATATGAATATGTTTATTATTATTTAGTTAACGGTCTCTATTATTGTACTATATATGGCTCGTTTATTGAATATCGTTTATTTTCCTCAATTCTCTAGAGATATTTTTTATAAAGTAAATGTTATTGTTATTTTTATTTTTTTGTAATAGAAAATTTTTTATTCATATTATAAATAGATAATGCCATTGCCATTATTTTTCTTTGGTAATTTACTTTTTGGTTTAGGTGGTACTCAAGCAGTGAGGTATTGTTTTTATTTTAATATTGATAATCTGAACAATTGATTAATAGTTTACCTATGTTTACTGCATTACGTCGTTTTTCAATTTGGATGACAATGATTGGTGAACAATTTATACTTCAGTAAAATTTTATTTTATGTATTTCAATGAAATTCTGTTTTTGTTTTTTTTTCTTAGTGAAAAACAATCTTTTACAGCACAATTAAGTGTTTATTTAATGGTAATAGGTGCATTAATTGCATCAGGTGATGATTTAACATTTAATTTGTTTGGTTATGTATTTCTTTCAATAAATAATCTTTGTACAACTGCTCAAGGTGTTGTTATGAAACAAAAATTAGTTAATAAAGTAAAAAAAAAAAAAAATAGGATTTATTTGATAAAATCAAAATAAAAATTTAAAAAATATTTTTATTTTATTTTAGGATTTTAATCAGAATGGTCTTTTATTTTATAATTCATTTATTATTCTTGGACCTACAATTCTATTAGCTTTGTTTACTGAAGATTTAAATAAAGTAGAAAATTTATTATTTGAAAAAAATTAATTCCTTTTTTTTATTTATCAAATAATATTAGGTTTGGAATTATAATCATTATAATGATATTGGTTTTATATTTGCTTTTCTTCTTTCATCATTAATGGGTTTTTTACTAAATTATTCTACTATGTTATGTACAAATTATAATTCACCATTAACAACAACAGTTGTTGGTGCTTGTAAAGTCTGTTTAATTAAATTTGCATAATTATTAAGATTTTTTTTTTGTATTTTAAAGAATTTATTTGTAACTTATCTTGGAATGTTTATTGGTGGTGATTATATGTTTTCATTTGTTAATTTTATTGGACTTAATATTAGGTAGTTAATATCTCATAAACTCATAAGAAGAAACGAATATAATACAGATACTCATTTTATGCTATGCTCGTTGTGGACACGGGCATTCATAGTTAACTTACAAAATATTTTATATAAGAAAAAAATTTCAAGTAATCATCCATGTCCATGAATAGATAGGTCTTCTTTAGAATCTCTAGAAAACCATGTTTTCATAGGATTTTGTTTTTGAGTTTGATTGATTAGAGTGATATTCGTTAATTACTTTTGAATCAATAGTCAACTGAAAGAGCCAACACTTTGACATACAGCGAGCATAAATTATACAAGAAAGTGTATTCTCCGTAATAAGCGCTAGCAAGAATTTGAATCGGAAAAATGGGTTCCAATAAGAATATAAGTGAATAAAAATGATTGCCTGGTCAGTACTTACGTTAGAGTGCTTAAATATAATTTTATTTAGAATACTTAGAATGGCAGAACCAAAAGATTATACAGAATGAGACTTCTTTGCACCATTGTTTTTTAGTTTAGATACAGGAATATAATTGAAGGTCACAAAAATCACTTTTCTATAAGAAATCGGAAAAACCATCTTAGAAACTTTCGTGAGATTGCGCTATCTCGGCTAAAAAATGTTGCAGAAAACTCTTAGACATTTTATGTTTTAGTTTTCTGCAGACTCTGTCTTTAGAGACCAGATACGGATTTTTATTTTGAATTGAAAATAAACTTTGTTGAATCATATTGGTATTTAATGTATGTCTCTGATAAAAGAATTTATACGAAAACAATAACTTTTGTAAAAAAAAAATCAAAGTCAAATTATATTTCATTTTGCCTAAGATGGTCCATCTAGGTGAAAGATGACTCTGCTCAAGTCTATTCGTGAGTGTTCGTAGTTTTTGGAGACACTCCTATTATGCGGACTATTTCCAATTTTAATCACAATGAAGATAGAATTAATCGTTAGGTGAAATCATTTTGCTCTTAATTTTAAAGTCACACCACTTTTGGAGCTTTTCAAATAGTGTTTTATAGAAGCAAACTCCAAAAACATTCATGTTAACTTCTGAAAATCTTCTCTTTGATTTATTAGTTTTTCGTTTAAATACTAAATTAATTTGTTGATTTTCATTTTTTATTTTAGTGCGATTGGCAGTATTCTTTATTCTTGGGTAACATTTACTCAAAAAGCTTCATCAAAAACTGCAAATATTTCTGATCGATCAACTGTGATATCATCAAAATCAAAATGTATGTATAGTTTGATTGAAAAAATTATTGCAACAAATATTTATCACTCATAGTAGAATGTGAAGAAAATAAAAGTTTCTTTTCACATGAGTAGTTTAACTTATACTTTATTCATGGATAGATAAATGAAGATATTATAATAAAGGAGATAGAGAGGAACGAGCTAATAGAGAAAAAAACTTTTTTTTTCTTTGGAAAACTTGCGACGAAAAAAAAATAGTACCAGTAAGATCAAATGTTAAATATGCTTTTCAAAATTTCATAACTTGTGTATTGTTTAATAGTAATACTATATTTGTCTATTTATTTAGATGAATGAATTTCATTGATACTGATCACTCCAAAGATTGATATTTACATCAAGACTCGCATTATTTTTATTGCGTTATTTTCTTTTTTTTTTTTATTATTCATACTAAAATCTAAACATTTTACTGTTATGTACTTGATATTTTTTAGTAAAAAAGTAATAAATAAATATGTATCTTTCATTCTACATACGAAAACTATAGAGTATATTATGTTTATCGAAAAATAAACATAATTCATATTCAAATATTTAGTTAAAAAAAAAGAAAATGAAAGCTTTGTTTTTTTTTTGTTTAAATCACCAACGATATTCATGATCAAAGTCTCACGATATGTTCTTTATTATATTGACTTTCATTGTCATCGAATTGTGGATTGATGTAGCTAGCAAATTTTTTAACTGATTGTTCATTAAGTTGAATATTATCATTGACTAATCGTTTTGATCGATAAATTGAAATACTAAATGAAAACAAAAAACTAGGTATAAATTTTAAAATTCTATTAATATAATTAATTTATACTTAATTAAATTCATTTTTTCAACATCATCTACTGATTGAGGTAATGGTTGATTTAATGTTTCAGGAAACAATAAAGCAAGTAGAGCAGCAATAAGTGATACACTACCATAGAAAATTATTGGAAGATGAATCCATAAACGTGTCTTAAAATAAAGATTTTTATTATTTGAAAATTAAAATTTTTTTGTTTTCACATACTAAATTATCATTAGAATAAGTTCCAATAATAGCACCTACACGTGCAACCATTGAACAAATACCCATACCAGTATTTCGAACATTTGTTGGAAATAATTCATTAGCATAGATATATATAATGGCATATGAACCAGATGATAAAAATTTTAATGTACCATTTATTATATTCAATAATAATAGTTGATCTAAATTGAATTTTTTTTTTTTGTCAATAAGAATAATTATTCATAATAACAAACCTTTGCTATCTTTTTCCATTAAATATTCAATAGGAAGTATTAATAATGAAACAATACAAAAAAGAATAAGAAAACCAAAATAAGGAATTTTTCGACCAATACGATCAAGAATTGAATGAACAAAAATATATGAGAGTAATTCAACAAAAGCACTTACACCAAATGATAAATATGGATTTAATTGCCATGATCCTATTTTTATACAAAAACAAAATATTTAATAGAGACTGTTTTTTTTTTTGTATCTATTGATTAATGTATAAGAATTAGATCGACTTTTTATATAGATTTTTAGTTATGCAAAACGATGTTAGGAATCAGAGATGTCCATCGCGGTTGAAAACTGACCGCTGCCGCGCCGCGACGATAAAAGAAAAAAGCTAACACGCCGCTACCGCACCGCGGTGATAAAAACAGAAAACTTACCGCGCCGCTGCCGCGACGCCACCAAAAATAACTATGTCGCGACCGCGCCGCTGCCGCGATGATTGTTAGAATAATGTTGTGAATTTTACGATCTGTGACTGTTCAGGACTAGAGCTGTTGTTACCAATCGATAAGATTCGTTGAATTTCATAGTTTTGCACTTGCAAACATTGAAATTCTGTTCCAATTCATGCATTTTTGCATTGTTCTCCAAAAAAACCTACCGCTATCGCGCCGCTGCCGCGATAGTTAGTTAAAAAAACAACCGCTACCGCGCCGCCACCGCCACAGTGGCAGCGGCGCGGTGGCGGTAGCGGCAGCGGTCGCGCCGCGATGGACATTCCTAGTAGGAATGTCTTGAGCGAATGATTCGCGAATCTTCTCAAAAAAAATTTTTGTTTTTCTTCAGTCGAGTTCTTGATTTTTATTAATTTTTTTAGTTCATCATTTTCTCCACAAAAACGTTCTCTTTCAATCCTAACGATTTCCGAACACATCTCTGATACAATGCTTTTTAATTTTGAAATTTAAGCAAGACACTCTTCTGAAGTTTAGTATAGAACAAAAAAACAACTTATCTGATTGGTCAACAAAATTAGATATTTCGGATTTCTGACAGTTTAGACAATTTAATAATCATATCTTCAAATAAATTAATAAAAGATATTATTTTCAGAAAAAAAAACATATGAGTTGACACACTTTAATATCAAGTAAGTGAGTATACTAGAAAAGATACATTTTTTTTGGTCCATCAACCAATCTACAAAAACAATAGTATCAAAATATGGTCTTTACAACAAATGATTTCATCACGTAACTATGAAATTATTTCTGTTAGTTAAGTTTAATAAAAAAAAAAGTTTTTGAATGTCTATGAGAAAAACATTAGTTTGTATAGTGAATATCAAAAAAATAATCTGTAGTGTTTAAATAAATTTACTAGTAGGCAATTTAGTGAATTCTGACCGCTTCTAATAATTACTTCGATACAAGTCTCTAATAGATACCTCGATATATTTTCTTACAGAAGAACCTCATACTGAAGTATATGTAAAACAAAAAAATATCGATTGATGGTTAAGAAAAATAAGAATACTGATTTAGTATTCAGCATCCAATTCGGATGCAGATTTGCTCAATTGTGAAAAGTCGTACCCATGCAGAACACTATATTGATTGACGTAGCTCTTTTTTCAAAATTATTTTGACACATAAGAATAGATTTTTCTCATATTTACAAATATGAAAAAATATTCAATAATTTTCTTTTATAAAAATGAATTCAAATAAATTATCATTTATCTTATTTTAATTAATTAGAATATTTTTATAAAACTAAATAAAATATAAAATATTTAATACCTGTACTTTGAGAAACACCATAAAAGATAAGATTTTGTACAAGCCTTAATAATAGATAAATAAATATTTATTATATTTAAAATAAATAAAAATACCATTGAAAAAAAAGATTAATACTAATAACAGTCATTATTTTTGATTGAAATAAACTTCTAAAACCTTGTTGATTATTTTTTTCAGACATTTTCTAATTTAAAATATTAAATTAAATTTATATGAAATAAAATAAAATCTTACTTTAATTTGTTCATCTTTTAGTTTTTTATAAGCATCATTATTAAACGTACAATTATTTATTTTTGCTATATTTCGTAAAATTTTTTCTCCTTCATCAAATCGACCTTTACTAACTAACCATCGAGGACTTTCCGGTAATATACTTAATAATAAATTATTTTTTAAAAAAATTAATTTTAATCAAAAATAAACATACTTACAAATAAAAAAGCATATATGGAACAGTAAATAATGCTATTGAAAATGTTAATATACGCCATGAACGAATAAAATAAGCAAATATTAATAAAATCATTTGACCAAATGCAAAAAAATATTCAATTACAATTCCAGTTAAAAGACGTTTTTTTGGTCCAACTAAAAATAAACACTAAAATTAGTAATTAATACTAACATTATTCTATTCTATATTGACGATAGCTATGAGAAGAAGAATACATCTATCTTTCAGCTACCTTGAAGCAGATTTATTTGCCTGATATATTTCCTTGAATTGGTAGATTCAGTATTCTTATTTTAGGATTCTAATAAGTTCAAAGAGTTGAAATTTTTTTCAATAAACGATTGTGTTTAAGGCTTATCTCTATGTAAAATATCAAGTTAAAATTTGAAAATTAGTTGCTCCAATGTGCGCCTGAGGGGTGAACAGTAGCTTTGGTATTTTGAATTTAGTAGTTAATTCATATAATTTAGAAAATATAATAACATTTTTCTATTCATGGAGAGAATCGAAAGAAAAAAAGATATTTCTTTTATCACTGTCTTCTTCTAGAATATAAATATCGATTTTAGTTGAATACCTATTTCAGAAGCAAGTACAAATCCAGATACAGATATTCCTCTTGTAGAACAAGCAAGTAAAAATCTTGCTAAAATAAATATAATATAGGATGGCCAAAATCCAAAAGATTGTTGTGGAGCAAATGTACATAATAAACTAGAGAATGTCATTAAAATAAAACTAATACTCATTATTGGTCGACGACCATATCTAAATTAAATTTATTTCATTTGATTTTATTTTATTTTTATTTAAAATAATAAACTTGTCTGCAAGAACTCCAAATAGAATTGAACCAATCATATAACCAACAAAGAATATCATTTGAACCCATGATCGATAACTTACACGATTACAAACCATTCTCCACTAAAGTAAAATAAGAATTAAAAAAACATTTTCTATTAGCATAACTCTTATGACTAAATTGAAATATGAAACATGATGTAGGACCTATTGCTAATCACAGATTTATATATAATAATGAGACATTGCTGATATACAGTCTTTGATGGTATATCAACAATGTGTATCACATCAGGTGATATTTTTTTGGCTATATCTGTACCGATCTATGGGAAGGTGGGATGATCTAAATTTCTATCTCTGTATTTTAGATCATATTTTACAAAACATTATTTTTTAATTATTGAATGAACCTCTTCAATTAATGTGTCTTTATAATATTGTCGATCAAAAACATAAGATTGACATGAATCCATTGATTGATTATTGAAAGGTGTTGATCGAATAAAACATCGTTGACATTCTTTTAATGATATTGAGTTTTTATTTAATAAACATTGTTCTTTTGTTGGTCGATATTCTTCATTGAATATAGAATTTGATGTTTGACTATATGAATCATTTAACCATTGAGATGGATTTCGACAACGAAAATTTGGTGTTGCGGCTGTAAATGAATATGTATAAACCATAATTGGTGGTAGCATATATGTTAAACATATAATTGTATATTTTACTTTTTGAAATCTTCCCCAATCATTTATTATTGTTAGAAAATCATCAAACTTCATTTTTGAAAGTTTTTCTTTTTTGTAATATTAATATAACATAGAATTTAACTTTGCATGTGAAAATAAATTGAGAAGAAGAAAAAAAAATAGATTAAAATTTGATACACTATTTTCATCATTACATTTATCTTATCAATTCAAATGAAGCATAAATTGGATTGAAGAAGAAAAAGAAAAACCAACTAAAGAAAAATTGTACCGAAATCGATATAAACATTTCATTAGATAATAAAATTTAGATATGCAAATAACGAACATCAATAATCTTTCGATCTGATTGTAACTTTAAAAGTTTAGTTGACAAATTTTTTTTTTTGAAACAATTTCATTTTATTCATTATTCTTTTCTGTCATGAAAAGATTCATTATTAAGAGGGGTTACTCGTTTTAATCAATTTACTCGGTAAACTTAACGAGTTTTATCGCGTTCAAAGGTAGAAAAGCATATTTACCAAGAAAGATTGACTAAGAAAATGTATTTTTTGTACATATTTTCTGGGACGTGTTCTACTAACATAAGTTCAATAATGTTCTTGTTACTTCCTATTTTTTTTTAAGTAAATCAACACATTTAAATGGATTTATCTATAGAGATTCATTAAATTACAAAATCTTTTGTCCTATAACTTACTTTTATATAAGGATGTGAGTGTTGGAGAAGGAAAAATCTACATCCACACCTAACAACATCTATACGATGTACTGCGACTTCCAAAAAAAATAGATTGTGAAAGGCTGTTACTACAAAGCACGTCGTCTATATGTCAACATAGGCAAGTGCTTAAAGTCTGAAATTGCTTTCAAGTTGTAGAGTGTTTCAAAGATCGTTCAAGAAAAAAATTAGTTCAAACTTCTTTTTCTTCACGAAGATCTGATCTTTTGAAACTATATTGACATTTGAAGCGAAGCTTTGTGCACCAATAGTATTTACAGTACTTCGTGTATCTAATTAACTCAGAAAAAACAGTTCTATTAAAGTTTCAGATATAGGCGTGTAGCTCATGAAAAACTTTACATGGTCTAATATTTTTTCTTAAAATTACTTATCGGTAAAGGTATAACGTCTTTTAACGATTGCAGTGCAATCATCTCTGAAAATAGTTACCATCTGTTTTCCTATCAAATTTTAATGATAACAATCAAGTTGATAGAATTTTATATTTAAGCTAAAAAGTTCGGCTTAAAACATTTTATATAAAAATGCAATGAAAACAAAAAATCCTGAAATTTACAGTCGACTTTTTAGGAGTTTTAAAAAATTGAATACATTTTTCTCACATGTACACACATTAAAATCTGCAATATTTGTTGTTTTAGACTAGAAACAATGCTCTATTGAACTAAAAAAATATTAGATTTCTATCACGTTCCATTCAAATACAATGGAGTCTATAACATTGGTACAAGAACTTTGCGCCACCCGTTATATATGTTTTCATGAACGAAACGAATAAAGTTTATGAACGGCAGTGAAGATTCAAACATGATAGTATAAAATTATATCTCGTTATTGAAATTAATGATGGTATGACGACAGTTTTTGCCTTATATCCTGAAGAACCATTATGCATGAAATAATCGATACACAAACTAACTAAATTGTTCATTGTCCAAGAATATTTCTGGATAATGAGTATGAACAAATTAAAATAAAAAACAATATTATTTCAACAATCAATAAATTTGATAAGATAGTTTCACAAAGAAACTGTAAAAATTGAATATGTTACATTATTTCTCTGTGTTACATGTCTAAAAGTTATGGTGGATACCAGAGCGCGAAACGGATGAGAAAATCTTCAATCGGTTCGATTCGACCATTACTAAGAGTAGAAATAATGCTACTTTTTTCGTATATCTTATTTGATATAAATGTTCTGCCCTTTTCATCGTCAGATATTTATTCTATTATTTTCCTCTGCTTTTGTATATGTGGTATTGCCATACATATTTTATGATCATTTTGTTTTGTAATATCATCCGTATGTAAGAAAACAGATTTTTCAGAATAAAATTGCTTGTAAAACTTCTACGCCGATCGTTCCTAGAAATAAAATTGTACTTCATGCTTCAACAGTCGAAATTTCACAACATGAGTGCATGTCTCAAAATTGAATCAGCAAGAACCAATCGCTAAGAAAATTAACCAAAACATTTTACAAAAAAAAAACAAAGAAGCTCAGGTGTGGGTGTGACTGCATATGAGAACTTAAACAACTTTGAGTAAAACTGTATTAAATAGCATCTTAGAATGATTGCGAACATGCAAGAGTAGATATCTTGATCATATGGTTCAATGGTCTAAACGATCGATACGTGACACATTGTAGGCATGTTCAAATCTAACCGTCATCCTTACATATTTACATTTAGATTAGTCCGGACTCGTTCACTACATCAGGCTGCAACTCGTCCTATGTACGTCGCTGGCGCCCTTCCTTTTTCAATTATAAATCATTTTTGGACGGGTGCCCCTATCACTCGTCCCGACTAGTCTTTGTCTCAAAACGTCCTCGTTCAGGAACAATCTGTGCACTAGATAATAATTTTTTATGTATTAACCAACTTTAAAGCAGTCCTATACTGATCTTTCTGGGAAAAAAGATTAGACTAGCCATATACAATGACGTCAGTCAAGCGTGTGGTCAAGACGGATTTAATAGCGCGCAAAAATTTCGTACTACTCATGTTAGAATACTTTTTGAGACAAAGATTAGTCGGGATGGATCGATGTGACTAGAAAGTGAACTAAACAATTAGTTCATGTTAGCATCCATAGATGGCGCAGAATGGCGCTAATTACATACTCGTTTATTATTATTGTTGTTTGAGTTCTCCTTGATCTTTTCTGATCTTTCGATCTTGATCAATCAATCATGGTCTTCTTTTTATTGCTGTTATTCAGTTGCTGTTTTTTTCATTCATACCTCTCACATCCTCATCTTTATTATTACTATTTTTCGTCGTTATCATTATTGATTTTTCTATTATTGTTATCTTCATTATCATCATTCATGTCCAGTTATACGTTCCATTTGTGTATTTAATAAAACATATTACTTTGTTACATCCCGTGAACATTATCTCGACATCATACAACACTATTCAGGTAGGTAGTTTTTCATGGTGAACTCTCTTCTTTTGAACAGACACAAGTTCTGAACTATTATTATTGAGCTCACGTAAACCATGAAGTACCAGGGCTTAATAAAGCTCACTGAGGGTCTCACAATCCGTCGCTTGCTTACCTAGGAACCAACTATCTATCCACACCCGCACCCGTTACATCGAACGGTATTTTCAAACAGAGCTTCGTAATGCTTCTTATACTTCAGTGATGTGAGTCACGCCCATTTATTTCTTTTATATCAATTATTTACTTTGTCCTGAAGAAAAAAAAAATATCGTGCCTCAAAACAAAGCATTCGTACTGAATTTATATCGATCAGCTAAATGTTTCAGTCAAATGTAATTTTACGCTATTACCAGACACACCCATTTTTATTCAAGTTTCAATCTTATTTCGATCAAGTATGTTTTGTGAAGTACTGGTGAAGACCTTCCTATTCACAAGCAACGTCATTTTTCGTCACTGCTGCCATATTTGTTTAATAAAAATGGATAAGGACAAAATAAAAAGACAGAGCAACCTTTTTTTACTGTCTTTTTATTATAAAAAGCCTATAGATGAATAGAAATACTGCTCAAAGCTAGTCTCTTCAGATGAATTTGAGAAATGATTAATGGGATAAATACTAATCGTGACACTGATTCTTGTATGCTAATATAAAAAAGACCTTTGGTTGCAACTCAATCTCTTTCTTTTTATTTCATTGGCTTCTTACTAGAGTCTGAAATAGAATAGGTTCGGTTGCTCTTATATAGTCTCCTATTCAATCAACATGAAGAAAGAGTTACTTGCCAACAAAAAAAAACAAATCAATATGAATAATAGAATGCAAAAGGTGATGTCTTGATTTGCAAAATCGAAAACTAGCTTAAAAACGTGAAAATATTTTACCACGTCATAAGCTCCATGCAAGGTACCATTCGATGCTAAATGTTTTTAGACAGTTTCAATTAATGACATATGAGTCTGTCTCATTCCGTATTTCAGTACAGACGATTTCAGAGACTTTTAGTAACAATGGATTCGATGCGAATTTCTTGATTGCATAGCTAGCAGATCAATATTTTCGCTTATCACATTACGCTTGAGTAAAACTACATGCAAAAACATATGACATGTTGCAATAAGTATGATTTATCTGACATTTTACCTAGAATTGCATCTTTCGATTTTGCACTCTGTCGCTAAGAGAATCGAGCTTTTTTTTCTTCTTGTTAGGTGGTATTTACAGAAGCGTTTCTTGACAATGCAACAACAAAGCAACATCCTGAGAAGCTCGATAATTTAATTATAACGATTGAAAAATTGCTTATTTATTCATCTGCTTTGATCGCAAGCAGTACAGAATAAAAAAAAATGGAACAGTTGCGCACACCAACAACGCCCTGTCGACCAAGAGTAACGCGTGTAAGCAAGTCGGAGTTGAAATCGATCCGTAATATTCATAACGTCGATTGTCCAGTTTCTTCAACATCTTCTCGTCAACATACCCGTCGTCGGAGCGAACAAAAAGACCTCTCAACTTCGACCAGTCACCCTCGGATCACGACGGTTCCATGTCAGACTCAGATTCCATATAAAAAAAGAGCAAGATTGGCATCAATTTTCAATGTTAATGTTTCTGAATCTCGCTGTGCTCGGACACCCCATCAGATTTATATCAAACGTTTAAACAAAGGGGAAACTAGTTTCACGCAAGATGCTACCAGTATCAATTTTCGAATTTCTCCGGTAAGTGCCATTAAACGAGCAAAATCTATCTTGATTGTATTGTTATCATTGACTACTAGCCCACAATCAGGTATTCCAATAGCAAACAGAATAGAATTTCACCAGAAACTACTGATGCTTGGACAAGAACAAAAGAAGA